GAATACCCATTGTAAAGTGGTTTTGTGAAGTACAATACACATGCAAGAAAATGCACAAGTATGAAGTGCGCAGCTGGAGAATTTTCACAAACTAAGTTATGAGCACCCAGGTCAAGGAATAAAACATGACAGCCACCCCAAAAACTCCCTTCATGCCCCCACCCAGTCAGTCACTAACCTCCCTTTTCCCTGAAGGTAACCACTCTCCTATCTTCTAACACCATAGATTCAGTTTGCCCATCTTTGCCCTTTATAAATCACTGAAATGACTGCAGTAATTGTAGCCTGGTGTCTGGCATCCAATATGGGCTCAGTATATGTTGGCACAGTTTCCTCTCCCTGACTGGAAAGGAAGACATCAAGTTGTCAGTGTTCACAAGGGCCATAAACAACTAGCATGAGTCTATCTCATAATATTCACACTAAAAAAGAAATCCAGAGTTTATTCCTCACTCTTACTAGATTACGGAGGAGGGGAGAGAGGAGCTGAGACCCTTGAGACCAGCTATAAAAATCCTCTGGGTCCTCAGGTGTACACTCTCACCTTCTCAGCAGCCTTTGAACAATTTTGTCAGGCCTGGGGTTGGGCTCGAGGCCACATAGGAAGAAATCAGGGTGGAATATGCACTAGGACCATGCCACTCCAAATGGTAACTACTGAAGCCTCTCAAGTTATCTACTTTGAAATTACCAAAGTCCTTTTTTCTTTTTTCTTTTTTTTTAAGGGAGATTAATTTAAAGATACCTTCAGCTTGTGTTTTCTGAAGTACGGCCAGTATAAATTATACATAAGTAAATAGAAAAATAGCTTTGATTTTGGAAAGGCAGCCAGGAAATTTGATGGCATTTCCTAGCCACATAGGTCTGTATTTGGCCTTTGCATATTTGGCTTGACAGGGTGCCCTTAGAATGTGGCCCAGTCGGCGCTGTGAGCCCATGAATGCAAGCCTGTTCTAGGCATGGCTCAGGGTCTGAGAGGATGCACACAGTAAGAAATGGCCACTTTATGAATTTCCCACTATTTTTTAAGCTGCATGTATCTCATATAACACCTCCAAGTGAGAACCACTGGGGGACCATTTTCTTTCATGAGGCCCTCCCCTGAGGCAGCAGAACTTCTGAGAAACTTGACTCCTAACTTCAATAAAAGAGAGGCCTTGAGGAAGACAGGCTCTCTGCTTCATTTGCGCAACCAGCCGAACAAACATTTTCCTAGCCCACACCATGCTCTATGTGGGAGACATCCTCTTAGTCAAGGGAAATGTGAGATTCTCACAGGAAAAATGCAACAACCAAGAAGGTAAGTAGAAAAGAAAGCTGCCTCTCTGTTTGGCCTGCAAAGTCTGGCTTGGGCAAAAAACATGGCCATGTCCGTGTTCCCTTAGTGGGCCAGGACTTTACAAAATAGAGTGAAGTCAAAAGGCATGGGAAACAGCTGCCACACAGTAGAAGCCCCTGGAATATTGGAGGCTTACAAGAGGGGCCTGCTGCTCTGTGATCTTAATGTTTCGAATGCAGGCACTCATATCCACTCTAGCCATTTAAAAACACATGTCAAGCTTTGGCATCACCACCACAAAAATAATTAACATGGCACTTACTATGTGCCACTGGACATGCATTATCTCATTGACTTTCTCTATAGTTAAATAATACTAATTTTAGAAATGAGGAAACTGAGGCACAGAGAGGTGAAACAATGTGCTTGAGATCATATTGTTAATAAAAAATGGAGTTGGCCTGGCCCCAGATTGCCTGATTCTAAAGCTGTACACCACATGATGCTCCCTCTATACAGTGACTCCATCTGTGGCACACAAGCAATATCCTGTAATTCAAATCACAATCTCATTCACTCAAGCAATATTTATGGAGCACCTTTCATGTGTCAGGCATTGGAAAGCAGCAGTTAACAGACCGAGTCTCTGCTGCCATGGAATCCAGACTCTAGGGGGTAGGAGGAGACAAGAAAGAAACACATAAATATATAACATACCTAGTGGTGACAAATGCTAAGAAGAAATAAAACAGGATAAGACAGAGGGTGACAAAGTAAAGATTCTATTTTTTAAATAGATTGTTCAGAGAAGCCCTCTATGAAGAGAGGACATTTGGATGGAGACTTGAATGGAGAAAGGGGAAAATCATGTAATTATCTGAGAGAAAGAACATTTTTGGGAGAGTGGAAAGAACATGCAAAGGGCCTGAGGCAGGACTGTGCTTGGCATGTTCTATAAATAACGAAGAGGCCAGACTGGAGTGAGTGAGATGGAAAATTGTACAACATGAGATCAGAAAAATAACAAGGGCGCAAATGAGGTCGGACCCCATTAAAAACTTTAGATTTGATTCCAAGTGAAATGGGAAGCTATTGGAGAGTTTTGAACAAAACAGTGCTATGATATGACTTTAATTTTAATGGTATCATTCTGATCACTATCCTGAGAATAGACTGCAGGGGAGCAAGGGCAGAAGCAGTGAGACCAATTAGGAGGCTACTGCAAAAATCCAGAGGGTAGATTAGATGATGGTTTGTCACACCAAGGCAATAGCAGTGGAGATGGGGAGAAGTGGTCAGATCTAGGACATATTTTGAAATTAGAACTTACAGAATTTTTCAAAGGACTAAACATGGGGTACGAGATAAAGAGGAGTTAAACATGACTTCAATTAATTACAAGGATGCAGCTCCCTTTTACTGAGATGGGGAGACTATGAACAAAGCAGGTTGAGGGGGAGATTAAGAGTTCAGTTTGGGACCTGTTTTGTTTGAGATTCCTATTAGATGTGTGAAGTGAAGGTATCAAGTAGGCAACTTGATAGACAGATCTAAAATCCATTCTGGACTAGAGCTATGCATTTGGAATTGATCAGTATATAGATGGCATTTAAGACCAAAAGACTGGAAGAGATCCCCTAGGGAGTAGGTTTAAGATAGAGGAATTGTCTGAGACCTGAGTCCCCCAAACATTTAGAAGGTAAATAGAGAAGACCATCTAGCAAAGGAGACTAAGAAGGAGAAGTAACCAGGGAGATAAGAGGAAAACCAAGAGTATGATGTTATAGAATCCTAGTGAAGGAGGTATTTCCAAGAAGAGGGAGCAATCAACTACAGCAAATGTTGCTGATAGGTCAAATAAGATGAGGACAGCAAGGACCATTGGATTTGGAAAGTGGAAGTCACTAACTAACCTTGATAAGAGTGGTTTCAAAGAGTGATGAGGATGAAAGCCTGAGGAGTGGATTTTAGAGAGCAGTGGCGGAAATAAAGAGGACAGAGTATACATGGACACCTCTTTTGAGTTTTGCTGCACAGAAATGTGTCAACAGTTTGAGAGTTGGTTTTATGTCAGGTTAGCTTTTACCAAGCAAGCAGGATAGAGGAAGTGAGGGACTATAGATGGATAATACTTACAAGGGAGTGACTGGAATGAATCCAAGCCAATGTATTCAGATCTAGATGAAAGAGTCAAAGAGCCAAAGAGCGAAAGATGGCAGACTTGTCTGTGCACGAAAAGCCTGGGATTTTGACCCTTCTGAGGAGCCAGATAGATGTTCTGAATCCCATTTACCACATACCAATTCCCCAAATGACTCAAGATCAGTAATTCCTGCTCCTGCTCTGAAGTACTCGGTACACTCTTAGATATCACCTCCCCACTTCTCCACCCACCTCTTTGTGCCCATTTAAACAATATCTTCTATAGCATCTCCTTTAGTATGTGCTGCCACTACACCTCCTTCTACATGTTTACTTAACTCAGAGCTCTGAGAAGATCACTGTCATTTTCTGGTAAAAGAATTTCTAGGAAAGAAGTAAATTCTGCAAAGGTGAGTATAGATATCTACCAACTTCTGCCCAAACCCAAAGAGCAAAGACAGAGTGATGGTGTCTGAAAACAGGTGATCTCTTCCCCTGCAGAGGCCCCACTTGGAAGCATATACATCCTCTAATGAGAGCAAGGGATTCAACGTGTGTGCTCAGCAACTGCAAAAAAGAGCTCCTAAAAAAATCAATGAGACCTTGGTCTATTTGCACATTTCAAAAAAGGTGATGAGGAACCTTATCAACTCACATCCAGCTGGCAGAATGACATCTCCATTAGGCACAGCAGGCACAGACAGTGCCTAGGGCCCATGAATACTTTTAGGTGCCTATGAAAATGTTTTAATTTCTTTTAAAATTGGAAGAAAAAATAAAGATAATAATGATGATAAATATATAAAAATGAATCCAGCTTGGGTTATATTTGTTTTTATACCAGTGCAGCCACAAAATGTCCTTTTTCATATTTTTTATGGAAGAAGTTGGCCCATGAAGGCAAAAGTGTCTGGGATCCATGAAAGCAATACTGCAGCCCTTGCCAGCTTAATTTTTATGTCTTTTTTCAAACCTGGATATTTTGATGAGCACATTTTGACACAGCACTTCAAATAATGTTTTGAGATGTAAGAATGCTTTAAAAAAATTACCAAATAGTATATGCAGTAGACCCTCCTGATACTGTTAAGGGTGAGGAGAAAGATGTAGCGAAACTTCATCTACTTCTTTCTGGCCCTGCCTCTGATCACCAGATTATCCACTATTAGTTGAGGAGTCTGCATGTACCTACATGGGACACACTTTTTCATATCACAAATACTTTGGTGTTTCTGCCCCTGTTAGGCCAGTAGTAGTAGTAGTAGTAGTAGTAGTAGTAGTAGTAGTAGTAGTAGTAATATTGATAATGGTGACAATAGAAAACAGTTGTGGTGCTCTGATTGTGTAGTGAGCAGTGAACCCAGCATTTAACACAATTGAGGAAACAATGAAATAGGTGGTGATTTGATTAAACAGTGTTCATTTTCACATTAAACTTCTAAGAAAGGGGTGGCAGCTTCTTACCAGACAGTGTGACTTGCCTTCAGCAAATATACACATGTCTAAGTGCATTAAAAGCAGCAGAGAACCATCTTTCAGTGACAGGGAATTTCAGCCTTCTCCCTCTCAACATGCTTACCATTCCTCAGGACCACATCTTCACTCTGGCTCAAGGGGCTCAATTCCTGGGGGTTCTTGATATTGCTCAGAGCTCTGGAGAAGTGTTCATCCACTACGCTGCTGATGTCCCCTTGGAAATAGGTGAAAAGAACACACCGGGAATTCCACTCAGTCTTTATAGGCCCCTGCATCTGGGAGGCACTCGTCTTCATTTCTTCCATTGTGGCACAGGAGACAGCTATGGATTAAATGAAAAATATTACTGGCAATATTTTTCCAAGTGGCTTGGTCACAGTTTGGTTGAGTGCCATCCCGGGGAGGGGGCAGTTTGCTCTTACTGAGTACAGGCTCAACAACCAGTCCGTGCTGGTCTGAGGACCAGCTGGTCTGATCAGTGTTCAGGAAACAATAAGACAGAGTTCTACGAAGTGCTGAAGGGGTCCTTTCTTACAAATGAAAAGAGTTATCTAGCAACATGACTAGAAGAACATCAGAAAAGGGAAAAGAAAAAGAGACCAAATTGCAAAGTAACTTGCCTTCTGGGGAAGTGCCTTCTCCCTCCCAGAACTATATGTAAATCCCCCTAGACAAAGGAGTGAGCTCCCCTGTAGAGCTGACTATGCAACCCAGTGGGTATTTACAATTTCCCTTTTCATAGTAAGCATTGCTTTTCACCTTAACCACTTCCATGCAAGATAATAAGACACATCAAATTCTCACACTCTCCCAGATGCCAGAGATTATGTATAATGGTGGCCTGCTCCCATTCCCCACCCCATCTTAGAAACTAGCTATTATTAACCACACCAGTCCTAAGGCCTCCAGACACACATATTCTGAACCAAATTCAGATTTTGAAACACACACACACACACACACACACACACACACACACACACACACACACACACATTTTTACACTAATATATTGTGGCAGCATTGGTGAAAAGCACCTGAAAGATTATCAGACTGTCAGCTCTGCTCACCACCATATCCTCTGCACCTAGAATAGGGTCTGCAATTGAGTAGATATTCAATAGCTTTTTGCTGAATTGCCTTAAACTTGGCCTCCATCATTTTATCCTACCTGTAAGCGCAAAGACTGTTCTTTTGCACCCAGGCCAGAAAATGGCACACAGCAGTCACTCAAGACATGCTGTGGCCTTCCTTTAACTAAAAAAGTAGTCCAACTGAATGTTCCTTTACTTTTGGGCACTCAATCTGACTTCACAGTGCTCAAGCTAAAGATACTTTTAATCTATTAATTATTTTGAATATAATAAAAAAAGAGAGTTGAATAGCCTGTCTCCCTCTGTAGTCTAGGAGATCCTTCAGGATGGAGGCCTATTTCTTATTCATTTCTTTATCCTTAGCACCTAGAAGAATGCAGGTGTTTAGTAAACAATAGCTGAATAGCTGAACTCCATTTCATGCAGAGACAGCACAATGCAAGGAAATCATACTAATTAGGAGTCAGAGGAAGATCTGGGGTTGTTGGCTTTTGAGAAAGCACTCGGCCTCTCTGGGCTTCAGATTCCTCTTGGAAAAAATAAGAGATTGGAATATATAAACTCTGCAGCCTATTCTTTTATGGTTCTGCTAGAAGCATCAACAGATTATGATGGGGACATTAGGAAGGAATCTAGCAGTGAGCAAAGGACTCTTTCTATCGAGTTTTCCTTTCAAAATCATTCTAGCCCCAGTCATAACTGGACTGTATTGTCTACAGCAGCCTTTGATTGAGCACATCAATCTGTTTCACCCAGTTCATAGCTACACTAAACATAACCAGGCACTGCCTGAAAAATGAATCCATTATATCCTTATTTCAAAAAATATATGAACAACCACTTTTAAAAACTGTTTGGCAGTTTCTTACAAAGTTAAACATACGCTTACCACATCACCCGGCAATCCCACTTCTATGTATATATAGCCAAGAGAAATGCAAACGTATGTCTGCACAAAGACTTGTACATGACTGTTCATAGCAGCTTTACTTATAATAGCCCCAAACTGGAAACAACTTAAATGTCCATCACCAGGAAAATAGACTAGCTGTGACATTTTCATACAATCGAAAGTTATTCAGAAATAAAAAGGAACAAATTACCAATCCACATAACAGCATGGAAGAATCACAAAGACATGTTAAGTAAAATAAGCCAAACAAAAAAGACCACATATTATGTGATTTCACTTACATGAAACAGGGACAAATAATCTCTGGTGATAGAGGCCAGAACAGTGGTTGCCTGTGGAGTGGAGATTGGGAAGGGTCAGGAGTATTGAGAATGTCCTACATCTTAATAAGGGTGAAGGTTATACGTGGATGTTTACATTTGTCAAAAGTCATCAAATTGTATACTTAAGATCTGTGTATGTCACTGTAGTTTAATTATTCCTCAATGAAAAAGCACATGATATATTCAGATACTCAGAGTTATATAAATAAAGCAAAGGTGTTATCCTTGAACACATTATAAGATGTCAGAGAAAGACAAGTACAGTATGATATATATGTATATATATATATATGTATATGTATATGTGCGTGTGTGTGTGTGTGTATATATATATATATATATGTAGAATTTTAAGAAGCCAAACTTGTAAAAACAGAAAATTGGCAGTTACCAGGGAGTAGGAGTGGGGGGATAGGACAAATGTTGTGTAAGGGTACAAACTTGCAACAAGTAGTAAATAAATCCTAAAGATCAGGTGCACAGTACAGTAAAATATAGACAACAATGTTGTGTTATCACCATCATCAAACCTGCTAAGAGACTAGAACTTAATTATTCCACTGACTAAAAAGAAAGGATAATTATGTGACATGAGAGGTGCTAATTATCGTTAAAATGGCAATTATGTTACAATATATGAATTTATCAAATTAACATGTTGTACACCTTAAAGTCACACAACGCTTTATGTCAAATATATTTCAAAAATAGCAAAAAAATAATAATAAATAAAAGGTGTTACGAATTATAAAGTAATAATAAATGTGAAGGTAGCGCTTTTTCTAAAGCTACAGTTTACAGAATACCTACTACTTTGTGCCAGAAACTATACATATATTTTCTCCAATCTTTACAACCCTCAAAGTAGATATTATTATCCCCATTTTATAGATGAGCAAATTGGGGCTTAGAGAACGTGAAATAAACTGCCCTGGCCCACGGCTAAGAAGGTGGTGGCAGAGCTGCGATTTGAACCCAGATCTCTCTAGCTTCAATGTCTATCCTTTTTCCACTGTCCCTTACTGTGTACCTGGTGGGACTAATAATAGTCCTTTCCCCTCTAGGCCTCAGTCTATCCATCTACCAAATGTGAGGGCCTGGCCTCTAGTTTCTAGGAAAACTTGAGCCAGGACCCTAAACCAGCAGCCATCAGGTTTCCTTTAGGGAATGCAGGCAGATCATCCGCACGCTCCCTTGGGGCATCTCCTTGAAGCCTTTCTTTGCAAGAGCCGCTTAGCACCTTCATAGGATTCTTATTCTCAGAATTGCCCATGGACAGTGCTCTAGGCTTGGGCTTGACACAGTTTACAATCTATCTTTGCTAAGTCTCCCTGAAGCCATGAGGGAAGCAGCTGCTGAACACTTGGGACCTCAGGGTCCTGAAACACGCTCCTAGTCTCCTTGGGTAGAGACCACAGGCCACCTGGCCACCACGATAAATGGTAGAGATAAAGTCAGAAACAACATCTCAGCCCCAACACCTTGGAGGGCTCAGACCGTAGGCAACTGGGGATCCTAAATAAACCCCAAATATGCCCTCTTTTCCTCCCCAAACACATAGAAATATATTCGAAGCAAAATCATGGGCTACTTTCCCAATCCAGCTCACAAGCAGTTCTCTGGGCTGCGCTCAGACCTCATTGGACAAGATCTGTTTTTGAGGGATGTTAAAATTATGAGATGCTATTTGGATTAATACTTTGCAGAACTGTATCCCGCTGCACCTCTGGAGAAACTTAAACAGTTTCATCCTCCGAAGAGCCCTCTGCGAAGGGTCTCTTTATTCATGAGCGAATTGGTCAGGGTAGGTCTGGCTTAGAAGAAGATGCTGCAAAGCTGGAACTGAGGGGATATCAGTGAGGCAGAAGAAATAATAGGACCTTCCTAGAGCAGATGTTTTTGTATCAATTCCTAGCTTGTAGTAAAAGCCTCTTGCCGACAGAACCCCAAGGCCAAGCTTTGCCAGCTGTGCAGTGAGAACAGCATAATTACAAAAGTACCTAGCTTGTAATTTCCCCAACACACAAAATATACAGACACCAAATGCTTCCAAGTAGACCTTGAAATATTGCACAACTATTTAAACAAATATTTTAATCTCCTGCACAAATGTTTTAACATAGAATCTAATGCCAACTATTCGACCTCAACTCTACCACAGTCTGCCTGCACAGACACACTAACCACCCTTCCGCAAAACGGTACCCAGCACCCGAGGGTGGGGTGGGAAGTCAGAGAAGTTGTCACAATGATGACTTGGAAAAAAAGCCCCAAAGGGACCAGATTGTATCTCACCGAGCAAAGCATGTGATGCTCACCGCTCCCCCATGCCTCCCCCCTGCATGCCCCGATTCTTCCCCAGTTAAATTTCCATCCTTCCCCTATCAAAAAAAAAGTCCCCAGTTTCTCCTACCTTAATTCTCAACCATCAGCTGACACAAAGCAAGATGTAGATGCCCAAGCGATGGCTGGGCAAAAGTGCGTTTTTAAGGCCAGAGCTCTCTGGCCCCCTTTAGAGCAGCTTAGTGCTGACGGAAGCAGGGGTTGGGGATTTTGTACCCTCCCCTCTCTGTTTTCTGCCCCTCTGCAGGGCTATACGAGACATTTCCTGCTAGCTATCTATTAAGAATGCAGAAAATGCACTCCAACAAGTCAATCGGGTTGGGCACCTGCAGGAATGAGGAAAATAGGTAGCTCTTTTTTATTTCTTTCTTTTGCATTAAAAAAAAAAAGCACTTAGCGATATTGTCTCTTAAAATAGGCGACCAATTGTTTGCCCGGAAACCACACACAGAGTCAATAACATCTGAAACATCAGTTGTGGGGCTTGGATTAAACTGATGTCACTTTTAGTCTCAGGAATTGATAGTCAGTTTAATCCATCATTAGTTTTTCTCTCTCTCCTCATGGTAGGAGAAGGGGAGCCCAGACCCATAGGATTCTGGACTTGTCAGTACCTCTCTGAATCTACAATA